TGAAAAAGATGTAATATGTGTATGAATGTGTTGTCTGTGTTGACTGTAGCAACGCAACGCATCGAGCTGTGCGGATCACATTTCAACAACGGGCCGCTGCCATTAAACCAGATCAGAAATATGGCAGAGACCAGTCTGATGTGTTTATTAAGTCGTCTGAATTGAAAGCAGCATTTGTCGAAACTAATTAATTATCGGGAAATTACTTCAGCTCTGCAAAACACGCAAAAGCCAGATTGTTGTTCGAATAACAGCTTAGAGTGTTACATAGGGGTTTTTTTCTCTTTAGCACCGTCTGCACACCTCTAGTACATTAGTTTCACAGTTTAGTGTGTTAACGTGTGAACGTGTTAAAATGACAGCTGTCAATCACTAAGCTCTTTAAAGGCAGGAAAGCTCAATTCTAATAGATGATATCATGTCTTTGATCGTCTCTGTCTGCATTTACATTTGCCTGATATTTTTATCCAAAGCAACTAGTCCAACACAGAGCTGTAGTGTTTGCACAACAGTTTCAGTCCTCCAAATTGATTGGTGAAATCGCGTCTCAAGAGTGCACTAATGTGTCACTGGGATGTTCCGTTGTGTGGCTCTACTTGTATTATCTGAGTGCCAGCACATAGTAAATGAGCGTGTGTGTGATGGAAAACCCGGAATGGAATCGGAATCGGAACAAGGTGGGGGGTGTTAATTTTTAGCATCATTACTCCAGTCACATGATCCCTCTGAAATCATTCTAATACTCTGAATTGCTGCTCAAAAAACATTTATTATTATTATTATTATTATTATTATTATGTTGAAAACAGCTGAGTATAATTTTTTCAGGTTTCTTTGATGAATAGAAAATTCAGAAGAACAGCATTTATCTGAAATTGAAATCTCCTTGCTAAATAAAATTATTAATTTCTATACTTTCTCCCCCTCCCCTGACTCCAAGCTTTTGAATGGTATAATGTATAAAAGCTTTTTATTTCAGATAAATGCTGATCTTTGGATCTTTCTATTCATCAAGGAATCCTGAAACTTTTGATCAATTTAAAGCATCCTTGCTAAATAAAAGTATTAATTTCTATAATTTCTTTCCCAAAAAAATAATACAAATTATACTGAGTGGTATAGTGTATAATGTTACAAAAGCTTTTTATTTCAGATAAATGCTGATCTTTGGATCTTTCTATTCATCAAGGAATCCTGAAAACCTGTTTTAAATATTGATAATAATAATAATAATAATAATAATAATATTAAATGATTCTTGAACAGCAAATCAGCATATTAGAATGATTTCTGAAGGATCATGTGACACTGAAGACTGGAGTAATGATGCTGAAAATTCAGCTTTGCATCACAGGAATAAATTACATTTTAAAATATATTCAAAGTTATATTAAATAGTAAAAGTATTTCACAATATTACTGTTTTTGCTGTATTTTGGATCAAATAAATGCAGGCTTGGTGAGCAGAAGTTCTTTGAAAAACATAAAAAATCTTACTGTTCAAAAACATTTGACTGGTAGTGCATATGTCATTTCCATACCTAAAATACATATTTTACAGTCACTGTTATGCACGTTGTGTGTACACAGAGTGCGTGTGATCGCGAAATCGAAAGTGAAAGTGAACGGCGCCAGCGCTCATTCTAAAGCGATTTCAATGATAGCGGCATATTGATAGCGGCTCCCTGCTCCCTGATGCACGAAAATTATATACAATATTAGAATGTTTGCGGGTGTGGGTGGGAGTGTAACACACGCGTTGTAGAAGAGGATGGTAAGAAAACAAAAAAGAAAAATATATGGAGCTTTATTGAATATCACACCAATTTTGGGATTGGCTGTTATGGGGCCAAGGTGGGCCAAGCTCGTGATTGGGTGGGCCAGGCCCACTGGAAAGTTCTCCTAACCTCTTTACTCCGATATGCCATGCTGTTCGTCAGTAATCATCCAGCACTCCCGCGTCCAGTAGAATAAGCGGCATGGAGGACGGACGGATGGACGTCAATAATCAGTACTACATACCATGTCTTGTTTTAATCTATTGTTTAATCATTAAAAATAATCAGAGCACATTTAACCATCATAAGGAGCATTAAATGAGATTGAATTATCCATTAAAATGGAAGATTTCATAACTTGTATCACTGTACAATAATAACCCAGATTTTTCTTAAGCATAAGCAGCAAATAACAGTGACTTCAACACAATATTGGGTTTTAAATATGTGAATTTTAATTTTACAGACAGTAAAAATAAATAAAATTTATTTGACTTTAATCTAGGATAACATTACATTCATTTCTTACCTCTTAATTAGCGATGATGTGCTTATCTTTTTGGTAATTAAACAAAAACTTCTCAGTTAACATCATGTTCTCTTCAATTAGACGTGTCAAATCTCTCTGAAATCACAATATTATTTATATTTTATATTTATTATTTATAATATTATTTAATAATATTTACTCTCATATATATATATATATATATTAATTATAATTAATTATTCAGTAAAGAAATCAATAAACGAATGTTAGTCAGTCACTAAAACGAAATGATTTTTTAATTACTCGAGTGCGCGACTTTCCTTGGAAGGCAGGATAAAGCGCGTGCTGGAGAAGCGCATGCAGATCAGAGGTGCGCAGTAAAGAAAGATACAAACAATCCCAGGTGTTTATGATATGCTTTTTAGATTACGCTTAACCTTGGCTTAATTTCAGCTATAAAACTGGATTCATATTATCATCATAATGCGATTTGACTGCTTTAATGTCTACACTTTATTAAAAGCTTACTTCAGATATGAAATTCTGCAAAATACAGTTTGTTTATGAAAAAAAAAACACATTTCAGCATTAGAATAATTGGTAGCACTTTATTTTACAGTCCTGTTCCTCATGCACATACTATGTACTTATTATAGTAATTACAATAAATATGTAATAACAAGGTACTAACCCTGAACCTACCCCTAAACCTAACCCTACCTCATGTCGTTACCTTGTATTACTAGAACTTTCTTAGGTAGGTACACTGTAAGTACACTGTAAAGACATGTAAGTACACGTTCTGTAAAATAAAGTGCAACCGAAAAATCTCTCTGTTGGTAATCACTCAGAAACTTCTGCAAAGTTTTAATTAGTTTACATGGTTATGACAACTAAAAATAACCTGCAGAGAACATTCTCTCTAGGTTACCTAAAAATAACCTGCAGGGAACATTCTCTTTACGTTACCTAAAAATAACCTGCAGGCAACGTTCCCAGAACGTTCTCTCTAGGTTATAAAAATAAAACCTAAAAATAACCTGCAGGGAACGTTCTGGGAAGGTTCTCTTTAGGTTATTAAAGGGGTCATATGTTGCGATTTCATGTTTTCCTTTCTCTTTGGAGTGTTGCTACAAGCTGTTCGTGAATAGATAAGATCCCTAAAGTTGCAAAGACTAAAGTCTCAAACCCAAAGAGATATTCTTTATAAAAGTTAAGACTCGTCCACGCCCTCCTAAAACGCCTTTAATACAGGGAACGTTCTTATTTGGTTCCCCAAAAAATTACCAAATGGGAACCATATGGGAATGTTAGGGGAACGTTCTGTTTCTTGGGATAAAGAAAAAGAAAAGTCATGATCACAAGAAAACAAGAAAGAAAAATATTAATAATCCATGGCCTCTTTGTACCGATTCATTCTCTTATTTAAATTTAAACGAATTTTGAATTCTTTGCCATGATATCTCATTTTTCCCCCACATGTCATGTGCTAGGGGTGTAACATTGATATCCATTTATACAACAACCAAATGACGGTATAATGTATCCATGCATTTTATATTTTTAAGACGCACCTTTATATTGACACTCTCATGTTAGCCACATCTGTGTGCAATGTACTATAGAAAAAACTCTCAAAACAGACCACTGGAAGACTTGTTTGAAATGTACATCAAATATTTGATTACAGCTCAGTGACAATTTGACAAGTCACGTGCGACTTGAGTTTAAAAAAATTATTTGTCTGTATTATTTTAAAATAATTTTTTGGATGTTATTTGTAGATTTTAATTTGTGACAAATTTGGTTAGCCAAATAATTTCCCTCTTTCACAGATCACACAGTTTACTTAAGCACACAAATTAAGCTTATAGTAACAGATTTAATAGTTTATATTAAAATCTTATACAGTTGAGAAGCTAAAACTTAATTGAAAATCGGTAAAGTTACTCACTCTGATTGCTGTCTGATTGTCGTCCATCTTTAGTGATCCAATTCGGTAGGTGGCGCTGTTACAAAAGAATAGGGTCCTAGAACTGCGGTCCTAGAACTGCGGTCCTGAAACTGCAGCCTCCGGTTGTGCAGGAACATACTATTGGAATCAACCCAGTATAATCCCCTGTGAAAACCAGATTTGTCACCGGTCAGGGAGATCTGAGGGGAAAAGGAAGTGACACAAGAGGGCAGAAGAGATTGTGGCACAAAGGGACATGTGATGCCAAGAGAAATAAATAGCAAAATATTGAAAATTTAATCTGACTGCTGTGCAGAATATGCTGTGATGCTATTGCAGAGGATGTGTAATTTAGCATTTTCTTGTTTTGCATTAAATCTAGTATAATTGCTGTACAAAATAAAAATGGTTTTAATTATATTGATTCTTTTTTCCCCTTACTCAATGTATTTTACACCAAAAACAGTCAAATTTAGTATTTTAGTCTGTGACTGAGGTGCATTTCATATTTTGATATGGATGGGATTTGGATCAGGTTTATAAACAGTGGATTAAGAATTGAACTGGCTTAATTACATTTTGAAATCATTAAATTACTAGTAATTATTATGATTAATAATCTCTGATTCATTATTCATCTTCAAATTTAAACAGTATACAGTGATATCACTCTGGTTTTTGCTTTTCACCTCAGGTGAAGAAAATTGGCGGTGGCGGCTTTGGCGAGATCTACGAGGCTCTGGACCCGATGAACCGCACCAGTGTGGCTCTGAAAGCAGAGTCAGCTCAACAACCCAAACAGGTTCTGAAGATGGAGGTGGCGGTGTTGAAGAGACTGCAAGGCAAGTTGTTAAGCAGAGTAGATAAATGTGACTTTTATAAATACACAAATGGCATACTTGAATGAATTCCTAAATTGACTTTTTTTTTTTTTTACTTTCATACTTCCATTCAAAAGTTACATTAAAGACAACTGTAATGTTACAAAAGTTTTCTGTTTCACAAAAATGCTGTTCTTTTGTCCTTTCTATTCATTTAAGAATACTGGAAAAAATAAATAAATACGGTTTCACAAAAATATTCAATATTAAGCAGCAGCACAACCATTTTCAGTATTGATAATAAGATGATAATACGTTTCTTGAGTACCAAATCAGCATATTATAAGGATCATGTGATACTGAAAACTGGAGTGAGCTGCTGAAAATTCAACTTTGTCATCACAGGATTAAATTACATTTTAAAATATATTAAAATAGAAAACAATTTTTAATTGTAATAATACTTCACAAATATTACTCTTTTTACTCGTTCAAATAAATATGTTACATAAATAAATGCAAATATTCAAAAAATCGTACGGACCCCAAACTTTTGAACGGTAGTGTATCTTGTTTCACTTGTATAAATACTGCTTTAGCATTGTGTTATATACATTACTTTTTTGTTTTCATGGTTGTATATAGTATACATTTCTGTGTTCAAGTTTAACACAGTCTCCTTAATTGAAATTCACAATGTTTTGCACCAGATAAATGCAACCCTGATTTTTGGAAATCTTAATAGTTTCAACTAGAGCAAACAATGTATTGTAAAGCAGCTCTTCACATTGTAAGGATCAGTAGACAAGCTTGAAATCAAACAATGTCTTCTTTTCCTCTGGGCAAAGAATCAACAAATCAATTAGCAGAGCCCAGCAATGACACCATCGTTATCCTCTTTCCCTCCCTTTACAGTCTTCCTCCATTATATCCTCAACCTCTCCACTCTGCTTATGAAAAAAAAAATCAATGTACTTGTATCATGTTGGCTGTAATATGGCTGTATGATAGGACAGAGTGGTTTTATCTCTTCCCGAGGGAAAGGCTTGCAACTGGAGATCTCTCTATCTACTTGCTGCCCCCCACCCCGTTATAAGAGAAGTAAATAAAACAGAGTGATGCACAAATAATATATGCAAATCTTCTGGACACTAGCTAAAAAGTAGCATGGTGTTTTTCATACATAGTTATGTAATTTTTCACATAATTCTGTATGAGAATACTGTGTAAATAATGAAAATGAACATCACACTCAGAGTAATCAAAATAATAGAGGACTGGAGACTGGGAGGAAGGGGCATATGAGGAAGAGAGGGTCTTGCGGGGGGCTGTAGGGTGTGTCAGGGCAGAAGGCAGGAGTAGATCACAGTAGAATATGGCTGAAGCCAGTCTGATCTGCTCCTGCGGTCCAGAGAGTGTCCCAAGAGAGCTGAGAAATCCATACACCCCCCTCCTCTGGACAGATCTCCATTAGGAGGAGGAGTAGTGGAGCACATGGACAGAAAAAGATACAGAATACTTAAAAAAGAAAACTTCCTGTTTACTATTTGTCTTGTGAAGTGGTCATAATCATAACTTTTATAGCATTTTGAAGTCCATTTATTTTGTCATGACCAAAACAACATTTTCCACCTTCTCTTTGATCTTTAGAATGAAAATTTTTTTTAAAGGCTATTTCTGCTACTGTACATTTAAGACTTCATATGTAAACGACTTCTGTTATGACTGGTTGGTCTCTGTGCAGGTGAAATGAGATACAGTGATATATAGTCTAATAAAGTGTTGTCTCGCTGTTTCAGGAAAGGATCACGTTTGTCGGTTTGTTGGATGTGGCCGCAATGATCGCTTTAACTATGTTGTCATGGAGCTTCAGGTGAGGTCTGATTGACAGGTTATGCATTTTTTTTCTATCTTAACGTGTGCCGAATATTACAGTTCATTTGTGGTGATGATTTTACATGCCTAATACATGTATTTAATATGAGAGTGCAGTAATGTACACAGAAAGCTATAAAGACAATAATAATGGTTAAAACAATTGTGACCTATTAAAATAAGGTTATCTGTAAATGTATCATTTTCCTACAATATACATTAACTTAATTATGCAAATAAGATGTATATTTGTGTTTTTGTTTGTTGCAATTTATATATGAATATGATGACTTTAGGATTTGCAGTCTGTGTGCATTTATTTATGACTTTATATTAAACCTATCTTTCAAGTAAATATTTGCAGCCAAAGTTAGTAACCTTTTGAGTTGCCTTTTTGGCTTTTGCAGGGCCGTAATTTAGCGGATCTGAGGAGGAGCATGAACCGTGGCACTTTCACAGTCAGCACAACACTCAGACTGGGTCTACAGATACTGGAGGCCATTGAGAGCATCCACTCAGTGGGCTTTTTACACCGTGACATCAAACCGGTAAGAAGTTTAAACTCTTTTAACTGCCCCCAACAGCAGTTAACAATACTAATTGTATTGATTACAAAATATTATTTCTGTGTTGTAAATAAATAGCAGTATACTTAAATAGTACACTTAGTATAACAATAGGATGCTTAAAAGTTTACTTTTTACTCAAAATATTGCAACCTTATTGTAATGAATGTCTTTTTCACACTGTTTTCAGTCCAACTTTGCCATGGGCCGATTTCCTAACACATGTCGAACTTGCTACATGTTAGATTTTGGTTTGGCACGCCAATTTACAAACTCCTGCCAAGAAGTCAGACCGGTCAGTGTCAATAGTGATTTCTAATGCAGTCTTTCTGACTGTACTTGTTTATATGTTCGTGAGTATTTATTTGTCACTGGGTTTTATACATTTTTGAACTGTAAGATTCTCTTCTCTCTCAGCCCCGTCCTGTTGCAGGGTTTAGGGGTACAGTACGATACGCCTCAATCAATGCCCACAAGAACAAGGTAAGAATCCACCTGTTCACTCTCTTGTTCCTGCATAGTCTCAGCTGCTGTTGGTAATGTTTCAGTTACCAGGATCATTTTGGTCTGATCAGATTTGATTTGGTCTTACTGTCACAGGAGATGGGAAGACATGATGACTTGTGGTCTTTGTTCTACATGCTGGTGGAGTTCTTGTTTGGGCAACTACCCTGGAGGAAGATAAAAGACAAGGTGCTGATCAGGCAGGAGGAAGAAGTGCTATGAAAAGCATTTTCCTGTTTGTTGGGAAGTGATGATGATATTTTTGTGTTTATGCATTAGGAGCAAGTGGGGAAATTAAAAGAGACGTATGATCATCGGCTCATGTTGAAACACCTGCCCCCAGAATTCAATGTCTTTCTGGACCACACCAGCAATTTGGACTACTTTACCAAACCTGACTATCAGGTAAAAATTTGATACTTTAATAGATCAATGGAATATCTAGCAGTTATTGGTCAATCTCACTTGAAAATGATCTCTCCACTCTAGCTACTGAGGACCGTTTTTGAGAATAGCATGAAAACCTACAACGTAGTGGAAAATGACCCGTATGATTGGGAAAGGATGAGCTCAGATAGCCCACTGACAATCACCGCCACGGCAAACACACCACAGCACCATACACGCCTCACACCAGCTCAGATGGGGTAAGTCATGTGACTACTTTACTTTACTTTGGTTGAACTCTCTGGTTGAACATTTGCATTTTCTTAGTAGTGGTATCACCATGATGAGTTCTCTGGTGGTTCTGTTTTCTTCCAGCGTTGTGAATGCCTCACAGCTGCCAGCAGATCTTCTGAAGGAGAACGCGATGATGCAGCTAACAGTGGCTTTGTTGCTCTAAACCTGAGCTCAGGTCTACAAGATGTTGAGTTGCGTGATTGGGTGATGGTAGAGAAGGGCTCTGACCTGCGGGACTTCAAAGAGGCAGCAGGACGTAGCCCTGGTCCTGAGGCTAAACTCACTTGTAGCCCATCAGATGAGTGTGAAGAGGAGCCAGAAGTTTTGCAGCCAATGGATGAATCACCGGATAAAGAATCCACTCCTAGTCCCGTACAAGGAGACACCCACATACCTCACACAGTCCAGGGCTCACAAAGGATGGATCGGTTGGAGCTCAGTGTATTCCCTGCTGCTGGTGGACCTCCTGTAACCCCCACCAGTCCTGGTGAGGCACTGGCTGAAGGTGCACTCACACAGGTAACTATGGCTCAGAAAACTGTTGTTTTCACTTCTTCTACAAATTGTCTACAATTTAAAATTTGGTCCCATGATCTTTAGACCCATCCTCAGAAAAGGTTTCAAATGGTTGAGTTTCAAAAAAGCTCCTCAGTTATGACAAATATGTGCCAAACATAAGGTGAGGCTTTTTCTTGGCAATGCTTTAGCTTATTTTGGTAGGTATTATTGGTACCATGACCCAGCAGGACCTGAACAGTAGGATGACAGTGCCACCTAGTGGTCCAAAAAAAAAAAAAATCACAATTCATTTTATATAAAGCCTGCCTAATCCCTGCCAAGTCTCTCACTAAATTTAGATGAGGTGAATTTTAGACTGGTTCTGTCTTGCAAACGTGATCATGAACAAGCCAGACAGGAACTGAATATGAGGCAACATTTTACCAAGGATCTGGGCAACACTTTAACCTGTCAAATACAAAACAAAAAAGACAATAATTTAGATAAACTAGCTTATTAAATGCATGTGTGTAAGTTGTAGTGTTACCTACTGGTACACTTTTTGATTTATATGTTAGTTTTAAAAAACTTCAACATTACAGTAATTAGTGATTTTCACTTAAACACCCCTCATGAAAATTTCCTTTCTGCTCTACTTTTTTCTGGATGTCGTAAATAAGGCTAACACGTTCTATGCTACACATGCTCATGTCAGCAGAATAAAGGTGGTCTCTGAGGGCTGCTCACCTGTAAGCCACAGTAATGAGATACAGACAGCTCACCCTCAGGTCTGTGATGTAAGTTTACGGTAGTCTGAGCTAAGCTGATCCTGTTACCTTAGCTCTAGTATCCTCACTGCTCAGGTCAGGACACTGTTTGTGGAAGGAATGTTGTAAAACCACACAGAGCTGGCTTAATTTATTAGGATGTTGCAGATTCAAGCACATTACTGGCCTTCTGAAAGTTTTAAGTGCCGAGGTCTCTGGAAGATGTCAGTGAATTTTCCAGAATTTGCATTTTGCCTACCTGCATACTGTAGCCATATGTAACCATCTGCTTCCTCTTATTCCTTAATAACCTCCTACTATCTTTCTGGCCATTTTAATCTCTTTTTACTTGACTTTTTTCCATCTTCACTACCCATTCACTTCCCCTGACTCACCTGATCCACCTTACTAAACGCTCTTCGCCTCCCTTCCACTGTTCCCCACTTTCCTTTTCTAGCTACCCACCTCTCCTGCATCCCAACCCGAGGAGCTTGTGGCAAGGACGTGCAGCCCCCTGCACCTGCGCTCCCCTAGCCCGCACACCCTCCTGACCACCCTGTCGGACCCCCTACACCAGCGCGCCCCGCCTGGGATGCAGCGCAGCCAATCTGCAGATCACCAACACCACCCTTCCTCTTCCACCTCCTCGTACTATGCCTCGCTGCCACTACCTTCCCAGCCACGTGCTGCCCATTCGCCTGGACGCAGGAAACTTCCTGCCATTCCAGCGACTGCTGCAAACACCAAGTTCCCCTCAATCATACGAATCACCCGCGCTCAGCTTCAGCAGGTGAATAGGCACTCCCATTCCGTGCTTCCCATAACTTCGGCCATCTCTGCCCACCAAACATGTCTTCTCTCCAGTCTTACTGCTTCCTATTTTCTGTATGTTCTTGATTTTTGTTGTTGTATTTGACTGTAGTACTGAAGTCATGCTGTTTTTTGTGTGCTCTCTCCCACCAGGAATACTGTTCTGTCCATTATGCATGGCAAAACATTTTCTGTCAAGGTTGTCCTTAAAACCGAGGACCTTGTTAATAGCACTGTTCCAAGTAAACCTAGTGAACTAGGTTTGGGTCTGCCTGCTCACATGGGTCCTAGGATAGTCTGGGAAAGATTTTTGTAATTGTAGCTGGTAGGCTTTCAAGTGTCTGTTGCAGTGTTAAGAGGTTATCTTTTTCTAGGTATATAGTGAATTTTTTGTTGTGCATTTTATTATTTGTAAGGCTGTCACTAGTGTTTTTGTGCCCCTTGTACTGTTTATGACAGGAGTGTCCAATCCTGCTCCTGGAGCCCCACTGTTTTAGCTTAGCATCATGTTAACTTGAAACTTGAAACAGTTGTAAGTCCCGCTTCACTTCAGTAGAAATATTTTTTGCTGCACTTATGCCACACATAAGTAATGCTTATTTAAAGAGTTCCAAATCAGTCACTAGGTTTTGGAACAGGGCTTATGTGTTTTCATTCCTCTGAATATGTGACTAACCATCTCTTATCCTGTTTAATTCAGTCAGGTTTTGCTTTTCATCCAAGTTGTCTAAAGCAGGGGTGTCTAATCCTGCTCCTGGAGGGCAAAGTTTAGCTCCAACCCTAATTAAACACACACCGAACCAGCAAACTAAGGTCTTCTGGATTACTAGACACATCCAGCTAGGTGTTTTGAAACAAGTTAGAACTGAACTCTGTAGAACGTTGTCCGTCCAGGAGCAGGATTGGACACCCCTGGTCTAAAGGATATTATAACTTACAGACATTCTCTTTTCACTAACATTACGATGTTGTGTGTGGTTTGTTAAAGATCAGTTTATATCTGCATGCCATCATGTTTGGATACCAATACAAGCATTCATATCAAGACTGAACCTGAATTTGTGACCCCCAGGTGACATCAAGGGCATTAAAGGGGTGGTTCACTGTTTTTTTTATAGGCTTGATTGTGTTTATGGGGTGCAGTCTAACGTGTTAATGCTTCGTTTAAAAAAACACACACTATTTTTCACATAATTTACCTTTATTCTACACCGCTCTGTCCCTTCTCCCATAAAAGCGCTGATCATTTCCTGCTTTTATGAAGCCC